CAGTCTTAGGCATTGATGACTGTATGTAGAAAGCTGGTCCGAGCGTAGTGCCCGCAGGAAGGGTTCAAAAGTGAGCCTTTCTTTGTCCTTTTTGCTAGTAGTAAGACAAGTGTAGGGAGGTGAGTCTTGTAGATGCACCAAAGGTATAGTGATAGTAGAAATTTAGAGGATGGGCAGTTAGCTCACCTGTCATCTACATAGGACAGTGGAATCCACTGGACAGCAGCCATTGTCCCAGATCCTGATATAAGGAGACTTAAAACATTTCTCCAGGAGAAGTAGTGGATAAGCCTCTACAGACAGTGAGAAAGGGTGAAAAGAAGCCCCCATGAGGAATATGCGAGAAAGGGAGGATTCATACTAGCAGAATTAAAGACAAAGAGGTTGAGATGGAGGGGGAGGGGGAAAGAAGGGTTTGCAGAAGGTAGAATCTGGTTTGGAGAGGGCATAGGAGTTGGTTTTTACCAAGTGTGAAAATTCCTTCTCTGATATAGAAGGAATTTTCTATACCATCTTCCGGTTGATGTTTGACAAGCTCAGATTACTTATTAAACCATGAGACCTGAATTGGTCCAGAAGAGAAAGTGAATGACTTTACAGTCTCATAGACTCAGTGCCAACTACTGACATCTGAGGGTGTTATTGGTGGTGTGTCTGTTCTGTGCAGACTGGGACTTTGCTGCCTTAGGGGTTGGAAGACAAAGGATAAAGGGATGGAAAGTTCTCCCTTTAATCTGAGCTGCTTCTCAAGGAGTACAGTCTGAGATCTGAGAGTGGCTCACCTTCGTCTTTACAAGCAAACAGATAAACCAAGCTCCCAGGAGGTACTTGTACAGTATGTGGCTCGAGGGCTGTACATGCTAGATGGAGCTCTGGGTCTTTCTGGTCCAAGATGCAATTTATGTTTGAAGGTTTTTGGGAGATTAGTTGATAATTTCTTTGAAATAGAACTAAAATATGGTTGCTATGGTAAATGAATTGCTATCATTAAAGTGTGTGTTTCAAGCATCTGGATTCCCCAATCAGTCTGATGTTCTTCCACGGCAGACCCTAGTCTTATTATTATGTCCCGAGGACCATATTTGAAACAGTATCTGGAACAAAGTAGATGCTTGCTAAATGTTTAGCCCACCAGTCTCCAGGCTCCTTGTCCTCCCTTCTCTCCTACCTCAAAGGTTCAAAGGCAAAGAGAGACTATTAGATTAGAAGAATGGTTTAGTGTTTGCCTGATGTGTTGTCATAATTTCCTGTAGAGTAAAACTTGTAGCCCTGATAGCACTTCCTTAAATGAATCCCATTGCCACTTTCTACCTCTAAGCAGGCATTAGCATGTAAGCTGTGATGGGTTAGTCAGCTGAACTAATCAGATCTAATGAATGATGTGGTATCTCATAGCTTCTCTGGTTAAATAAAGGCAATTTGAAACACTACATAAAGTGCTTCTGGAAATCTTTTAAGATGGAGTAAAATGGTGCAAAGAGAATGAGGAATGCTTGGGACAAAGACCCATTCAGAAGTCAGGAGTGATTCAAAAGTTTATGTGCCCTTGGGGCTGGGGATTTAGCTCAGCAGGCATAAGCGCCTGCCTTGTAAGTGCGTGGTCATGAGTTCCATCCCCAGTACCGATAAAAAAAAAAAAGAAAATGTAAAAAAAAAGTTTATGTGCCCTCTATTAGGACTGTTCTGCTTGAGAGTGGCTGGGCCTTAATGGAAAGTGCCCTCCGTGAGTATTGATTGAGCATTTACTGGGAGGTAACTGCTATTTTACACTCTGAGGATGATATAGGGGAATGAAACGCCCAACCTACTATGTCTGCGAGTTCGTGTTCCCTAAAACTGAAAGATATATTTTAGAAACAACAGAGGTGAAGAGTAGAATATATTTATTGAGGGAAAGAAAGCTTCTGTCTGAAGAGAGACAGAAGGGGGTCCCGAACGGGTTGCTCAAGACTCTGTCTTTTCCAGGGACTTTTATAGAGTGAAATCATGGTTCACAGTGGGACATAACTATAGTTAGCCAATAAGATCAATAGTTTAGTTAAAATTGATTAAATTGGGGACAAATGGGAAAGCAAGTCACGTAGGAAGTGGGCATTCTTACAGATCAGTGACTCCTCCTATAGGGGATTGGGATGATGACTCTTGGCTTCTCAAAGTGATCCAGATTTAATTCCTAAGGATTATACTTACAGGTGTGGTTGCATTTGTTTTGCCTTGTGTTTTGAGATCTGGCCCACAGCAAAAGGTGTGTGTGTCCCCTCCAAGGCCATTAGATATCTGGTCCTCTGTGCCAGTCTGACTGCCTATAATATTTCTAACTAACTCAGCTGCCTGCAACAATGATAGAATATAAAAAAATACAAACATCTCTGCTTTTGTGACGTTTATATTTCAGTGGAGTGGGGGAGAGACTACATTAAATAACCAAAATACTGTTTTTGCCAGATGGCTATAAGTACTATGTAGAAACACACAAGAGATCAAGGGAGATATGAATGTCAGAGATGTAATTAGTGCTGTTTTGTACAGGAGAGTCAAAGAGGGATATTTAAGGAGGTGACTGCTATGGTATGAAGGTCAGTACCTCCCCAAAATTCACATGCTAAAATCCCCAATGTGATGGTATTGGGAGGTGTTAGATTATGAAGCCAGAACCCTCATGAAGAGTATTAGTCTACCCTAAATGTCTATCTCTTATTATTGAATGTCGGAAGTATTTAACTTTCATTTGTACCCGGGCTTGCAGCTAACAGTTGGCCTCAAATCTCAGAGCAGATTTTGAATTTGGACTTTTCAGCACCGCTGAATGTGTTAGGACTTTTGTAATATGTGGAGCTGGACTACATGCCTTTTGCATAAAGGGATATTTACGAATCTTTAGGGGGTCAGGTGCAGAATGTTACGGCCTTGTGTTTAGATATTCCGCCAAAGTCTCATGCAGTCGTTGGTGGGGCTGTTTTTGAGGTGACTGGATCTAGAATATGCTGGAGTTGATTCATGGTGCAATGCTAGGCTCAAGGGCACTAGGATTAAGGGTGTGGGTGCTCTTCACTACTTATTCCCTCTAAGTAGTCTGGATTCACTGTTAAGTTCCCTTGTTGTTTTTTCTGTCTTTGCCTACGATGAGCTCTCTGTGATGCCCTCTGCAGTGCCACTCTGCCTTGGAGCTAGCCAATTATAGACCACAAACTGTGAACTAAACAAACTACTATGAACTGTGAGCTAAATAAACCTTTCCATCCTTATCTTTAAGTATTTTGTTTCAGCAACAAGAAAGTAACTAAGACATTCCCTTAGAGAAGAGGCCCAGACAGACTCTGGACACAGGAGGACCATGTGAGGGCACAGCTGGAAGGCACTATCTGTGAACCAGAGTGAGATCTCAGCAGACACCATGTCTGTTGGTGCCCTGATTTTGGATTTTCCAGAACTGTGAGAAGTGAATTTCAACTGTTGCTTATAAGCCACCAGGTTTTTGGGATTTTGTTGTAGCAGCCCTAAAAGACTGTGAGACATGGCATTTGAGCAAAAACTTGAAGGAGGACATGCAAGTATCTGGGGGAAGATGTTCTGGGTAGAGCCAAAGACTTATGGTGGGACTGTGGAGCTGCTTTTCATGACCAGCAAACTCAGCTGCTTTTGCAGGCTTTGGTCTGTCAAGTGCCAGGGCAGCGGGAGGAGGGGGAGAGAGCACTGTGGTGGCAGTCTTCAGGTGCCCTAGGGAAATCTAATTCCTGACTTTCCTGTAGATTGCTACTTGACTGAACTTCATGAGTTCACTTCTGAAGATGTGAGATCCCAAGCAGAATGTTATCTGTTTCTTCCAGTAGTTATAGCCTTGATTCTCCTATCTTGCCTCTTAGGAGCAAAGCTGGTTGCTTGGGAGATACGTTGCTTGTGGAAAACAGCAAAAGTAGGCAGAAGTGAAACCAGCATCTCCCTTGCTATGGCTTACTCTTTGCTATTTTTGAGTTTTCCTAGTACAGATCAGCACCTCTTTTGAGCTGAATTTCTGTATAGTAGGATTGGAAGGTCTGACCCAGTAGCAGTAATGATTCTGAGATGTACTTTGACAAATACGTGCCATTGGAGGGAAGGAAAAGGCAAAACATTTATTTTGTCTTATCTATGGACCATTCATGGGGCTGTTTCCTTGTATTATCGAATCTTCACAGTCAGTCTGTCTGCAACGTAGGCATTATTGTTACTATTTCACAGACAAAGGCTCGAAGATATCTACTTTCTGGCCTGCAAAAATACAGTACACCTAGTAAAAACTTCGAATGTTTCAAAACACACACACACACACACACACACACACACAGATACACACACATAAGAACTGGAACTCTTTGCTTGACATCTCATACAATTATAAAAAACTGATGAATAGTCTACCTGAATTTAAAAAATGTACACTTAGACAGATACATAGGTGGGGTTTTTTTGTTTGTTTGCTTTAAGAACACGGTACCAGAGTGTACATACTATTCTGCAACTCTTTTCTTTCCTCCTAGTAGCACGCTGCTTATGAGGCTATTCAGTTAACCAGTCTTATTAATTAAAGTGGGAGTTTTCAGGAGTTGAAGTTTTCAGATGACACAGCTGACCCGTGACCTCACTTTGTCACCTAGAACTCCACTTTCTCCCTTTTGTAAAACGAGGACAAGGGGACAAAGCGTCCCACGATGTAATAATATCAATACGCACAGCACCTCCCCCTCCTTCCTCATCTCGTGACTCCGTTGCGTCCTCAAGCCCTCTGAGTAACACATGGGAGGAAGCTGCAAACAGCGACTAGCGCGGCCTCCTCCAGAGCCCTGGAGCCCGTTTAGGCAGAGGACATCAAGGGTGCTTGGGCGGTCCCGAGGTGAGGCGAGGGGCGGGGCGTCACCTGAGGGGCGGAGCCACAGCCGTGTGATTGGTAGGCTGGCCATGGGCGTGACTTCCCCGCCTCTGCTTTTCGTCCTACCCCGCCCCTGCCCGCCCAGGCTCCGCCCCTTCGTCCCTAGTCGCCGCGGTCCTCAAGCCGCAGGCGCAGTGATGGCGGAGGCTGTGGAACGCACTGACGAGCTGGTCCGCGAGTACCTGCTCTTCCGCGGCTTTACGCACACGCTGCGGCAGCTGGACGCCGAGATCAAGGCGGACAGAGAGAAGGGGTTCCGGGTGAGGGGCTGGGCGGGCGGCGGGCCGAGGTGGACGGGGGCGGGCCTCCTCCTCCCCCTTCTCCCTCCAAGCGCTACCTCGGGGTCGATGGCGGCAGTGTCTCCGAGTCCTGCGCTTGACAGAGAAGCTGAGGCACGGCACGCACATGACTGCCTGGAGTTGCTCAGGGAGGCAGGAGCACTGAAGCCAAGCGCCCTGTCCTAGTCCCGGCTTCTTTCTCGATCCTACCTCCCGCAAGTGCTGGGCGTGGCCAGCGGGCAGCCAGGTTTTGGAGCCAAGGATGGGCAGGTGGTTGAGTTCCAGCAAGCGAGATGTCAAGGGTTGGCTTCTGACTGCACTGGTAGCAAGGTCTGCAGCCCCAAACGCTGGTCAGGTTCAAGTGTCTATGGTGTTTTGTTAAAATGATCTTTCATCAGGGACTCGCTGATATTTTTGCTTCTTTAGTTAAGGAAGACTTCATTGCACATTTTAAAGCACAAACTTCCCTCTGCTCTGATATGATTTTCCGTTGCAGAGTTCCTGGAATTTCTGAGCGTGTCATTTGTACGCTTGTGTGTGCTGAATTAAATAGATGGTGGCAGAAGAATTGAGAGAGACACCACTTAGCTGCAGGAGTTAGGAGCCTGGAGTTTTGCCTTGCCAAAATTAGTGGTTTCTTAATGACAAAAGCAAATCGTTTCACCTCCAGGCTTCCTGATCTACTTTTATGATTATTTTAGTGCAGGGGATTGAACTCACGACCTCACATTTGCCAGGCAGGCACTTGTTAAGCTGAGCTAACATCCCTGGCGCCTGATCTGCTTTTAAAATGGGGTTGAATTGACGTTGGTATCCAGAACTTCTCCCAGATCGCATCCAGTGGTGAAATTGCTTGTCACAAGACTACTACTACTACTTCGGCTGACACTGGCCAAGGCTGGGATTTTGGTGGCTTGCAAGGGTCAGTCTGTACCTCCTGATGATCCTTGGAATTTTAGAATTGTGGAGCTAGGAAAAGGAGGGACTATGAAGATTGTGTCATGATTTCTTGCTTTTTTTTTTTTTTTTTTAAATCGAGAGGTCACTGTGGCCACAATTGAAATGATTTTGCCAAGTTGGTGAATTTGATCTAAGACCTACCTGTATCCAGATATCTTGGTTCTTGGGCTTTTATACACCTAAGATTCAGTGCTTAACAAAGGGTTAAAATGTGTGTTTAGCATTAGAAAAAAATTAAAAGCTGTTACATTAATGTGTTTGAAAAATTTAAGGTTGCCAACTTACAAGTCTTAGTACCTAGATGCCATAGTAAGAGGACAAAGCTTATTCTGTGGAATTAGGGAAGAATGGCCTTGTGTCCTTCACTACTTTCTTTTCTTGTGATGCCTTTTCTTGCTAGGTGGACAAGATTGTGGACCAGCTACAGCAGTTAATGCAGGTGTATGACTTGGCTGCCCTTCGGGATTATTGGAGCTACCTGGAACGCAGACTCTTCAGCCGCTTGGAGGATATATATAGACCTACCATCCACAAGCTGAAAACCAGCCTGTTCCGCTTTTATCTTGTCTACACAATCCAGGTGCTTGTTGAGGCAGGGATTTTGTTTCCCTGGTAGGGAGAGCTCTTTGATCCAGAAATAGATGTTTCCTCCATCCCATCCCTTTAGATGATTCTGTAGCTTACTATGGGAATGAATGGAACAGCCACAGTGCAAATTATTTTTTACTGATTTCTTATATTTTGTTTCCTTTTCATGATTTGCAGATCATCTGACTTTTTTTCCCATTCCCATTTCTCCTCTTGTTTTAAACACATTAGCATAGGTGGTGTTTTAAGGAATATAAAGTTTAAGTAATAAAGTATAATAGGTGACTTGGGTGAGACAGTCACATAGATTATTTGAACATCATCTAGGGATCAGTTTTCAGGACAGCATTTATCATTAGACCTTAAACTGCTTATATTTAAACCCTAAAGCTTGAAATCACAAGGTCCTTGAGAAAGGTTGATGATTTCATTCATATTGTGGAGTTTCTAGAGCCTGCTTTGTCACTTACCTGACAAGCGATATCTAGACTTTCTGTCATGATGAAGAATCTCACCTCTCAACTTCTGTTTTTTCCTCCTCCTTGCTGCCTCCTTTGTGTCTTGGCAGACAAACAGAAATGACAAGGCTCAGGAGTTCTTTGCAAAGCAAGCCACAGAGCTGCAGAACCAGGCTGAGTGGAAGGATTGGTTTGTGCTTCCTTTCTTGCCATCCCCAGACACCAACCCCACCTTTGCTACCTACTTTTCTCGTCAGTGGGCTGATACCTTCATCGTGTCCCTGCACAACTTCCTGAGTGTCCTGTTTCAGTGCATGCATATCCTTTGCAGGCATATTGTAGACTACATAATCAATAACTGCACAAAATTACTAATTTCAGTGCAGTCATTTCATTCACAAAGTGCTTAAGGATCCTTGACTTGTATCCTATGAGGGAGCTGGAGAAATTGTGGTTATTTTTATCAGGAGGCCAGGGAGTCATAAATCTTAATTCTGGTGCTATATTGTGTGAAGAAATAGCTGACACACATGGGCAGCACTAGAGTAGCTGTGGGGTGGGTAGGCAGCTACTTCTTGGGGAAACCAGCCAGACTTGAGAGCATCCTTTCTGTGCAAATTGTGAGTCCCTGGGGATATCACTTGCTTTTGCTGAGATTCAGGAGCACATGAGAACACTTCTTGGACTGGAGCTTCCTGCCTGAGTTAGTGTTTAGGTTATTGTCTCTGACAGTGACCTCATTGTTCTTCAACTTGCCAGAAGACAGACAGTTTTAAGATCGTGTGTGTGTGTGTGTGTGTGTGTGTGTGTGTGTGTGTACGCGTGCGCATGTGCATGTGTTTGTGTGCATACATGCTCATTGTGGGGGGGTGTGGGAATGAATAAGAATTGTATAAATGCCTCACATTCTAGCAAGTGTACCATTTTGTCCTGAAAGGCCTGAGATCCTGAAGTGCTTTCATGCATCATTGTGCTCTCCAGGCTGGAAATCCAGGGGAGGAGAAGGCAGGCTGTTTTGCATGGGGCTGCTTGGTGAGGTGCTGATAAATTTGGGCGTTGATATCCCCACCCACTGGCTGCCATTTTGACCTCTGGGAGACTGCTTTCTGGGAGGTTCCTGACTTTGCTCTTTCTTTATGTGTTGTAGAAGAGTGGAAATTTATTCTTGCTAGGTCTTTCTCTTTTTCTTTCTTCCTGCCAGCTGTCTCTTCCTGTAGGCTGTCAAAGAAGCTGGTAAGGTGGCTACTGTGTGACCATGGGGACTCTCCGGGGCAAATAAAATGGTCACTCAAAATCTTTGTGGCCGGGGCTGGGGATTTAGCTCAGTGGCATAAGTACCTGCCTTGCAAGCAGGCGGTCGTGAGTTCGATCCCTGGTACCGATAAAAATGAAAAAGACAAAAAAAAAAAAAAAAAAAAAAAAATCTTTGTGGCCAAGATATTGCCCGTCAAACTAAGGCATGCACATTTGTTGTCTGAGGTCCTGTCTACTCTGCCCTCCTTACTGAAGCTGTGTGAGTCAGTGGAAAAGGCAAGAGGCCAGTACCCTCAGCTAGAATGTAGGTTATCTTGAGGTGGCATGTGGCCATGCAATCTGCTCAAAGCTGTCTCTTCATAGTCTAAACCTTGTGGAGAGGTTTACTGTTGATGGGAAAACCTATTATCGATCCTGCTTCTAGGATTGCTTTCTCCTGAATGTATGCTTTGCCTTTGCAAAAGCTTAGACTGGCCGGGAAGACCACTGAATACTGCCACTTAACTGCTAGAGTTTAGGGGGGAAATGCCAGGCTTTGATTTATATCCACATAGATTTTTATGTGTCTCTGAGTCCAAAGAAAATAAGGCCCCCAGCCTAGGGAGAGACCAGTTTATAAAGCTGGGACAAGCCCACAGCACTGGTTCTAATCTGTTTCCTGTTTCTTGTGTTCAAGTGTTTGGCTACTGTGTCAGGAGCTTTCAAATGTTCCCAATTAGGCTTATTCTTAACTTTGTGCACCAGTTCCTGTGATCCTGAACTTTGATGCAGAGTGCCAGAGGACCAACCAAGTTCAAGAAGAAAACGAAGTTCTGCGTCAGAAGGTTTGTGCTTTCTCCTTGGGAGGACTTCTCTGTGGGTGTGAAATTGGGTCATGGCACTCAAAGACTGATTGCATACAGAGCTGAACTGTTTTCAGATGAGAGCAGGTTATCAGTCAGCTTTGAGGATTTAGGACTGTATCAGCCTCTGATAACCAGACTTGAGATTCATGCTTTAAACCTAATCAACGTCATAATGCAAATGAAATTGTTAAGATGACTTTGTATATTCACATGATCCTTGCAGTCCTCCATTGTCATATGTCATTTTGCCTTCCTGGTCTTTTTCCATTTAGTATGACCACATATATAATGTTCACAGTCCAGGCATAATTTAGTCATTCCTACTAAGTTACATATTTCTCTTCTTTGGCCCATGGTTGCCTCTACATTTTGTCTGAGGAGTGTTGATTTCCCTGACCCAAAATGAAGATCTCTATCAGTGATAACATTAAGTAAAGAAAGCTTTGAAGTGGTTTAGATTTTGAGGTTTAGGATTCTTGGATTTTGAGGGACGTGTGTGTGCTTAGTTTTCTTAAGACAGAAGGTTAAAGATGCTATAATTCATTTAAAATTTTTTTCCATATGAATTCCAAAGCCTGATTTTTTTGATTCTAAAGAGCAAAGTAGGACTAGTGGAATTCTTTCTCATTAAATTCAGAAAGTAGCAAGTCCAGTGGCAAAAAGGAAGCATGTCAGATAACAAAGTGGACTTTGAGTGTCTGACAATTTTTGGCTTTCTTACCTCACTGTGATACAGGGCCAGCAGTTGCTCTTTGATTTTTCTCTGAGGCACAATGAGCAGAAATGCAGAGGACACCTTGGTGCTGAGGGAGAGTGGCACCTGGAACCAGTGAGCTTGGGTTTGGATGTAGAGTGTAGAAATCTTGCTCAGCAGAAGGTGGGGTAAGATCATTGGCTAATCCAGCTCTGCCCTATGCAGCTTTTTGCCTTGCAAGCTGAAATTCATCGGCTGAAGAAGGAAGAGCAACAACCTGAAGAGGAAGAGGCCGTGGTCCAACACAAATTGCCTCCTTATGTCTCCAGTATGGACCGCCTGGGGGATTCCGAGCTGTGAGTGTGTGTGAGCTGTGGGAAGATGGTTGCTCCCTCTTCTCTCTCCTCTGTTCTCTGAGCATGCCTCTATCCCCAGAGCACCCTCTGTCTCCTTAGTATCCCCTCCCTTGCCTGTGGCTTTTGTGCCTGTTGGAGAGTATTGCCGAAGAGTCCCTGGTATACCTCCTCTTGTTTAAATTTTATGAGTGAGGTCCTTGTGGCCTCCAAACTCATGCTTTTTCTTAATCTGTTCTGCCAGGATCTTGTACATTCTAATCAGTACAACCCAACCACCACGGTAAGCTTCTATGTATGGGAAGGAGTGTTTCAGTGTGGAAGGATTGGCCACTGAGTCTTTAAAGAGGTAGGCAGAAATGAGAGAGAGGTATTTGAGTGACCAAGCAGCTAGGTAAGACCGGGTTGTAACTCAGTGGTAGAGTGCTTGCCTAGTCTTTGAGAGGCCCTGGGTTGGATCCCTAGCACTGGGAAAAAACACCAAAATGAAACAAACACAAACCCCCCAAACAGAAACCCAAGTGATAACAATCCTAATAGCAGTAGTTAAAGAACCAGTGGCACCATTAGGTGACAGTTACTGACTAGTGAGGCCGGTGCAAACCCAGGCCTAGTGAAATACTTCACCACATGAAGTGGCTCTAGTTTGTCAGCCAGTGCCATCCAGTGAAGATAAAATACAGTACCAGCCAAAGATGATCATTAACAGTTCTTTTTAATAGCTTTATTAAAAAAGTAAAACAAAGTAAGTTTTAATCATATATTTATTTAGGTCAGTATGTCTAAATGTTTCAACATATTCCACCCCTTTTTCATGCTAAGCCTTGAAATCCCAGTGTGCCTTACACTGCCAGCACATCTCGATTTAGACTAACCGCAACTGAGGTCCTTAGTAGCCCACATGACCAGTGGCTATCTTATAACATGGTTCTGAGATCCCCTGGGCCCCCAAAGAAGAGCCACAGACTTTACTGGTGTTCCAGATAAGCTGATGGTTGCCTTTGTATACAGTGTGCTACGAAGCGTAATGTTCTTGCAGCCCAGGCTACAGAATGTAACTAAGGGCCCCCTTAATGAACCTCTGTAGCTCAGGCATTCTGGGTTCTCAGACCTTTTTCATCCCTTCCAGTTCTATAACCCTGTGTTGTGTCCCCTGACCAGTGCCATGGTGTGCAGCCAAAGGACTGCCTCCCTCTCCCAGTCACCGCGAGTAGGCTTCCTGTCCTCACTGCTGCCTCAAAGTAAGAAGAGCCCCTCGAGGTTGTCACCTGCCCAAGGACCCCCTCCAGCTCAGAGCTCGTCCAAGAAAGAGTCCTTTAGCAGTCAGGTAAGTGCCACTCACACTGAGTATTGCCAGGAAGCCTGTGACGTCAGACTGCCAGCTGTGCTTCTGGGCCTCTTTATCAAGCATAGGCTTGTGCGACTTCCTTTGGGAGCAAGTTGTTGGATGTTGCTGTGAACTCCTAAGTTCGTTTCTCATTTCCTTTCTTTCTCCTTCCCTGCCTCTCTCCTCACAGACTAGGGGTAGCTCTGTAGGATGAGAATAGAATTAAGACTGGGATTGGAAAAAGTGGGACCACAAAGAGAAAGATCCACCTGCTGTACCCCCACCATCCTCCCCTCTGGCTGTTGCTGTAGGGCATTGTGCTGTGCCAGTGGGCAGATGACGGGGTGTGCTGTACCTTCACCTGGTCTCCTAAGCTCCTGTCGTCTGATTATGCCTGTCCCAATGCTTCAGTGTCTGCCACGCCCTGTGGATAGATTGGTGGAAAGTCGATGACTAGAAGTAGGCTCTGAAGGACTCTTCCCTTTTCATCCTGAGGGTTTGTGACTCTGGGTGGCTCAAGTATGAGTTGAGGCAGTGCTGGAATTTTGATTTAATTTTTGTTAAACTAGTGTCTGGCTAAAGAGTAAGTTAAGAGTTAACTCTGAATGTGTGTATTTTACCCACAAGCTGATATTTGCTGATTTTTCTCTATTTTCATGTTTCTAGCATATTGCAAGAGAAGTTCTTTGATGCTAGCTTCTGTGCAAGCAGCCATGAATTCACTGAGTTGTTTTTCTAGCAGAGCTTGTCAGAACTCATTGCTTTCAGAAATGCCTACTGGCCTGCCAGAGTGAAAGTATAACAGACTAGGAGTTAGGATTCATTGCGTGGGTGGGGACTCTGCTCTTTCAGTGTAGTTTTGCTAAGCACGCATAGAATAAGTGGTCATAGTTCATTCCTTCCTTCTCTACCACCCTTGGCTGGAGTTGTAAGTGCAAGTGCAGTGGTTTGGGTGCAGCTTCTGATTTAGAATGATTGGGTTGGAAACCCTGGACGGGATACTGGATAAGACAGAGCATGGGCTTTGGAGTCAGGCAACATGATTTATTTTCAGCTCTGGCTCCTTGTTTATCATCAGTATTCAGATTGCTTAAATTCACTGCAGTTTGCCTGGGCTAAGGACAGTATTAACTCCCCAGGAGGGCAGTAGTTGTGTCAAGAGGAGCCTTCAATATCTGCAGTGCCTGACAGACAAGAAGTGCTCAGTAAACTTTGTAGCTATTGTATTCCTGAAGGTCCTGGATTCTTGAGTTATTTAGACTTTAGGTACCACCTGTGCAAGTTGACTGTCATCTCAGCCTCTCTGAGGGTGGAAGCAGCTAAAAATCAATTGCAGTTATTTCTACAAGTGGTTTTCTTGGGGAGGGGTGTTGGTTTTTTGAGACAGGATCTTGCTATGCCGTTAAGGCTGGCCTTGAACTCACTATGTAGCCCAGGCTGGCCTTGTACTTGCATTGATCTTCTTGCCTCAGACTCCCAAGTGCTGGAATTCCAGATGTGAGCTCCCAGGCCGGTCCATAAGTGTTTTTCTGAAGATCTTTGCAAGTAGAATTTCAGCTGTTTGGGATATTGCCATTAAATAAGTTTTATTGTTTGCTTTCCAGATCTTTCTTGTAAGCAGCATTTATTTAGCTCTTGGAGCTAAGGAGTGTTGAGTCCCTTGAAATAAGCTGGATACTGTGGAATCTAATTTCACTAATTAAAACGGAGGCAGACACAAACACAGCTTCTTTGAGGTTAAGCCTGTAGTCACAGTCTGTTTCAGGAACTGCATGTCACATGATATTTTGCTTTTATAAAAATATGTGGTAAGATTGAAGTGACATGGAAAGTTTTCATGGAGTTTAGTTCCAAGAGATGATGGTAAAAGTCTGTAATTTGCTGCAAAGCGTTTCTTACTTTGCCCCTAAAATATAATCAAAGAAAGGTTGGGTCCCTGTGTGGTATAGGAACAGAGCCCAATTTTGAGTTTCTGAATGGAGACCACAGATACCTGCAGTCTGAAAAATCTGTTGATCAAATCACTTTTTTTTTATTGGCAATGGATTATTTAGACTAAGCATTGATGTTTAAACTCAACTAATGAGATTTGAAGTTCAAGCAAATGGCAAAATTTAGAGGGAGGCTTCAAGTTCACCTAGGTCACCTTTCTTCTCTGGTTGATTGCCTCCTGTGATGTGGAACAACCTGCTTGTTACAGTGGAAAGTATGCTTGTTAAAAAGCCATTGGTAGCGGCTGAGGATTTAGCTCAGCGGCATAAGTACCTGCCTTAAGGTGGTCATGAGTTCGATCTCTGGTACCAATAAAAATGAAACAGACGGAAAAAAAAAAAAAAGCCATTGGTAGAAACCTCTGCGTAACTTTTACTCACCAATCTTAGCTTTTTCCCCTGGCACTAGATGGAATAAGGCCTCTTGCATGAAATAACCTTTTCCATCTTTCACACCAAGCTCTCTGCTCATCCCTCTTGCCAGATGTTGACCCCTGCAGCATATTTTCTAGACCGTTCACCATCCTGGACCCTCTCCTTTGGGAGCACATTTTAACATTTCAATCCCTATGTAATCCAAATTTTAGTGTACAATTTTGGATTCTTTCTCACCATTGCCAAGTGTGTAATGGTGATTTTGACATTATGTTTTTGGGGTTTTTTTGGTCTTTTTTTATCGGTACTGGGGATCGAACTCACGACTGCCTGCTTGCAAAGCAGGCGCTTATGCCGCTGAGCTAAATCCCCAGCCCCCTGACATTAGGCTCTTTTTGAGCTCAGTATGGCAGGAGAGCTTTGTCAGTGCATATTAGAGCTATATTGCTTTGTCAGTACATATTAAGTGTTCTGTCTTTTTTTTTCTCTCCACTGCACCAGAGCCCTTCTTTTTTGTCACTAAAGAATAAAAAACACATAACAAATTATATTTTATTGTTAAACTAATACATAAATGATTGTACCTTCCTACCTTAGATATTATTTAACATAAATTGTAAATTCGCTCACGTTGTAATTAAAGATTATTTAAGATATATTGTAAATCACTTGCATTGTAAATTTCACTCACATTAGCATTTTGCCTATTAGTGATGGTTCACTGAAACGGTTATCATTGTTACTTAAGTGTTCATAGAATTATTCTTACAAAATAGGTGGAAATACACATACTTCATGCTTTCAGTGTGAATCTAGAGGCAAATAAAAAAAGGAAGTAGCTGCAAAGCCCCAGCTCCCAAGCTCTTCTGGGATCTCCAGCAGCGGTAGCCAGGGAGGACTTGGTAGCAGGCTGGGCTGCCCGCCACTCCTATCCTGCCCCCAGCTATATTCTGCGCCTCCCTCATCCACTTAGTGAGCTATGGGACAACAGGTGGGAATTACCTTATTACAGATAACTTTTAATTGGCTGTAATGTAAACAAAGTAAAGCATCCACAAACTTCTGCACTTCCAACTCTTATCAGATTACTCCCCAGCCATTGAGACATTAGTGGGAACAAGAGCTGTCCTGGGGCTGTTCCCATGGAACTAGGTAGCCTGCAGGAAAGGGTGCCTCTGCCCAGTCTTTCTGTCTGCAGGTCAGCATCCTCAGCCCTGCCTTCTGGGTGGCTTTGTTTTGCCTCTGGTGAGACCAGATTACCTGAACTTATTTTCTGTCCCAGTTGGAGGGTTGCCTGGCAAGCTTGGCAAGGCTCTGAATTTGCTGCTGATCTCAGGCTACCAAAAATGAATGAGTGTCACCTTATGTCACTGTCCAGTGGGAGAAGGTCACATGCTAAAACAGGGTGCATTATCTCCTGAACTGTAGGAGTCAGGAATATTGTGATGAATACAATTTAAGCCACTGGAGTATAAAGTTAAATGACTGCAGTGCATGAGATTTTTGTAAAGGTTGCCTTTTCAACCTTCTGCTGCCACTTACATCACAGTAAATGTTTACTTAAACTGTGTGCTTTTGTAGCTAGACATAAATTGACCTTAACCTCCTCATGAAAGCGATTGTGAATGGCTGTGTTCATCAGCTTTTAACGCATGCTGATCTTTCACTGTTGTGTAACCTTCTGCAGTGACTACCTCTGTTACAGTGGAAGAACTTTCTTCTCTTAAAGCAGGATGTAAGAGGTCATATCTGTGGCTCACTAGGTATAAACTGTCCTGGTGTTATAAAAGTAATTCTTAACTCATTGTCCTGATTTTTGTTACTATCCATTTGTTGCCAGGCATGATGGTGTACACTTGTAATCTTAGTAGTTGGCAGGCTGAGGCAGGAGGGTCACCATGAATTTGAGGCTAGCCTGGGCTACATAGTTCAAGGTTAGCCTGAAATACATAAATTAGACGCTTTCTTCTTCTCTCCCCCTATTCTGGAACAAAACCCATTTGCATTTTCATTTTGAAAACTACGAGCCGTCCACCCCAGCCTGATTATATACTGGACAACTTACTTGCCATCCTGATTTATAAGGAAGCATTGCCTTCACATTTCTTTGTGTTGGGTTTTCTGCTATGGCTGGGAAAGTGTCACAAGTGGCTTTTGATCTAGATGGAGAATTAGAAGCCCGTTCATACCATCTCATAGGGCCAATTGAATCTAACACTAGGTATTGGAAAGGAGAGAACACTTTATCAGATGTAAGGAGTGAGAAAGAAGAAGGCTGCAAAACGCTTGTCTTCCTCTGTCACATTTCCTGCTTTTGGCCTCTGATACCCATGTTGTGCACAAAGGACAGTCAAGTAGCAGGCAAAAAATGTAGTGGATATGACAGCTCTAGACTGAGGTGTGGCTGTTCTCATGGGGCTCCGAGCATCCCCAGAAGGGGTGGGCATTGCAGGAGTCCACCTCCCCAACCTTGCCCTGACAGCACGCAACAAACAAACCTCTTTCGCCCTCTATCTTCCAAACGCTCCTCCTACAGAGGGACACTTACTCTCAGTGGGTCTTGCCCTCCTAGGACGCATGGTTCTAATATTCGGCACTAACATGTGCTGTGAGTGATCAATGCAGGCTTACCATTTTCGCTCTGTTTATGACTAGGGCAGCATATGTCTTTCTTTTCTCTTTGTCTCCAAGGGAACAGAAGAATCCACTGAAGTAAAACTCTCAATCAGCACTGTGGAATCTCACTGAAAAGGGACCTTCCTTTCCTTGCTCCTCTGGCTCCACAGAGTCCTTATCATTGTCTTTAGATTACCGTTGTCAGGGCTCCTGCTCCCAAGCTTTAGATTTTCTAGAACTTTCTTATAGGTTTGGATTATTCCTTATGAGTTGAACTTACCATTCATTCCTTTAAATGTTTTCTTCTTTCTTCTTGGGGCAGAAAATGTAAGTATCTCATGCTTCAGAATCTGTGATCCCTCACATGTGCACTATTCCCTTTAACAATCTCTTCTCCTCAGTGGATGCCCATACCTGTAATCCCAATACGGTAGGAGGCTGAGACAGAAGGATCACAAGTTGGAGCCCATTCTGGGCCATTTAGCAACTAAAGACGACCGTGTCTCCAAATAAAAAAAGAGAGGACTAGGAATGTAGCTGAATGTGAAGACCTTCCCTTGGTTTAGTCCCCAGTACCTCAAAAAAACAAAACAACAAACCCAAATTCCTTTTTTCCTCTGGGTATTGTAAGACTTATTCCTTAAAGTTTTGACATGGATCTGATTGTGCCAGGTTCTCTTTTCTTTGTATATCTTAAAGGCTTCCAGTCACATGACCGTAACCAACCAACTTTGCCGTAAATCCACAAAAAGCCCAGTGTGTAGATCTCCTCCTGCCACTTCCTTTACCTTCAGTTAAACAACACTGTCAACAGAACACGCATCAGATGTGTGCTTGTCTAATCTTAACATCTGAAATCTAAAGAGCTCTAAAATCTGAAACTTTGAGTACCCATGTGACCTCACAAGTAAAAAGTTCTATACTATGAAACAAAATTATTAAAAGTATTATATAAAATTACCTTCAAGCTGTGTATGTAAAGAGTATATGAAATATAAATGAGTTTTTAGTTTCCATTTGGGTCTTATCCCCAAGATATCTCAGATATCCCCAAGACAGTACAAAAATCCCCAAGTCCAAAAAAAGTTTGAAACACTTCTGGTTCCAACATCTTGGAGAAAAGGACAAGAGACATTCAACCTCCTTTCTCTCTCCCTCTCTGCCTGCCTGCCTGCCTCCCTCCCCTCTGGTCCCCTTTTTGCTCTCCCTCTCTTTCTTTCTCCTTCCTTCCCTCCCACCCTCCCTCCTTCCCTTTGCTTCCCTTCCCTCCTTCCTTTCTTCTTCCTTCCTTCCTTCCTTTTTGGTACTGGGGGCTGATTCCAGTTCGTTCTAGCCCTTTTTAAAAACAGAAGTTGAACTTACCACTCATTCCTTTAAATGCTTTTTGCTTTGAGTCTCACTGAGTTGCCCAGTCTGGACTCAAACTCGTTATCTTCTTGCCTCGGCTTCTTGGGCTGCTGGGATTATAGGTTTGTGTGCTCAGCTCAAGTTGTAATAGGGTAAGTGTGTTAGACGTTGGGATCTTTCTTCCAGCCATTCATTGCTTCTGTAGTTTCTTCATCTGTCTGTCCGTGTACACATTTATATGTTTAGTCAGCTGTTAATGAGGGTCCTGTCAGGCAGAGTGCTGGTGTTAGGGACACAAAAATGTATAAGGCAGTGTCATTGTTTGGGATTAGAAGGTGAGCTTCTTAAGTGTGCAGATATTACTATGTAGTGAACACGCAGGTTGACCAACATTCCCCACCCTTCTCCAACTGTTTATCCATGTGGAAGTTCTCAGCCAGCATTTCTGTGAATTTGTAGGAAGGTATTTATAAGTAATTAACATTGTGTTGTGACTTAACCCTCTTACATTCTTACATTTTTTGGTTTTGCAGTTTCAACCTCATAGAACTGTTGTAAGAATAATATAGAACACCTCCTCACCCCACCCCGCAAAGCCCCTCCATCCTTTTGGGTTTTAACAGTAGGCCTTCCCATCAGAAATTTATGAGAATTCCTGGTTCCCTGCAGTCTCAGCAGCAGAATCTATCCAGTTCTAGAACTTCTGCCAATAGGATGGTGAGTGCAGTTTTAATTATTTCTTTTATGAGTAAAATAGTAGCTCTTTCCACTTATTTAAAGTCTGTTCTTACATATTTTGAATAAATTCTGTGTCTTTTCCTATTTCTCAATATACATGTTGTTTTTTTCCCCTCGATTTTTTAATTTGTTTTGTATCAAAGATACTAGGCGTCAGGCATAGTTATGTGTGCTCCAAGCCCAGCCACTCAGGAGGCTGAAACACATTGTGAGTTTGAGGTCAGGCTGGACATTTTAGTGAGACCCTGGCTCAAATTAAGGAATTTTAAAAAAGGGGTTGGAGCTGCTTTATGCTTTTTTGGGATATTGTATAATTTTCTTTATATAGATTTCACATATTTTATCTTAGTTTAAGTTTTCTGTCACTACTGGTCAATTGTGTTTTTTCCTTAGTGTTGGTTGCTTTCAGCTAGATTTGCATTTAGGTCTGCAGAGAAGTTACTGTTCTTACAGTGATTCTGAGACACATTAAACTTTGAGCACCTCTGTCTGTTCTCGGTACACTGAATATGTGGGCCTCTGAGACTAAGTTTTAGCTAGTTCCCCTGTTTGGACCCTGACGCTTACTTAGTTCCCTGAGTCTCCTCTGCTATTCCTCTTGCTCTCCCTGTATCCTTCATAGACTCTACTTACAATGTTATGTGAGTTGGTTTTCATTTTTTAAAAAATTCTGCTTATGGATCACTTCAGCAGGTTGATAAATCTGTCAAGCCTGCATAAAATTGTTCCAGAATTTTGTGACATTCTTACTTTGACAGCTGACATTAACCCAGGAAACGAGTCTTCCTTCTCGGCCCTCTGTGTATCACTAGCTGTGGAGTTCCATATCATCTTTTAGACTCTGCCAATACAACTGAGGTCTGTTTTTTTTTTTTTTTTTTTTTTCACTGGTACCAGGGATCAAACTCACGACCACGCGCGTGCAAGGTAGGCGCTTATGCCGCTGAGCTAAATCCCCAGCCCCTGCTGAGGTCTGTTTTAGAACTCTTTAGGCTCTGCTCATTCCCCTCTGGGTCGGGAAATGTGGGAGAAATGCGGGTTTGTGTGCAGAACTGGCACCATGGACCCCATCCCAGGACCACGTGAAGGGTGCCTTTGTTGCCCCAGGACCTCTGTCTTCAGTCGTCTTGACTGCCTGCTGCTCTTGGGAAGGGAGGGGAAGTCTTGGGATGGGGTGGACATCACTGGGTTCATTCTCTTTTGCTGTAGGCTTTGCTTGATGGACCTTTTTGCTCTTGGTATGAAAATGAACCAGAAAATAGTTTCTTTCCTGTTCCATTTATCTTAAGAATTCTTGGGTTTCCAGTAATGCCTATTAAAAATGTCTGATTGTCTAGTAGTCATTTTCAGATACTTTAGTATTTGTTATTGTTGGCTGTAGTCCTGTAGTTGGCCCAGAATGAGAGATGCCCCATGTTCCGTTTCCCTTCACACAGGGATTCTAGTTACACGAGTGTTTTTTTTATATTTTGCATACATACAGTTATGGGTAAATGTTTATAACACAGGGTGGGGACCTGGCCTGCCTTGGTCATTGCCCTTGCAGATTGCTCCCATTAGGTGAAGGAGGCTATATGCCTGTGTCCAGGTAGGACAGAGAGTAGGCTTTGAGGGTGAGGACAGACAGGCGGGAGCCCAGACTGACGGTTCTACCTGCACTTGAACTCTGCCCAGTCAGCCAGGAGTTGCTGTGTTTCCTCCCTTCCTGGACATTGTCACTGCCCGGACAGCCAGGAGGAGACTTCACAGCCTGCTTCTTGTCCCTAGGCCACCAAGGGAAAGGACCTGACAGCTGGGGCCAAGAATGGAAAGAGCCTCCTGGGCGGGCCAGCCCCTGGGGAGTCGAGCTGGACTCAGCAGCGGCAGAGGCGCCTACAGGACCATGGCAAGGAGCGGAAGGAGCTCTTCTCCACCACTTCCTCCCAGGTATGGGGTGTCCCTTAGCCCTCCCAAGCTGTGTTGCTGCACAGGTGTCATTGCCTGGGAAGGCTGGGAGGGGCCTGCAGTGGACTGGCTGGACCTGGCCTGTTGGTCCTTCTCAGGGCTAGTCACGTTTGCTGCAGACCACAGGCCCAGAGTCTGGGTGTCTGCCATGTGACTTTTCCCTGTTTTGTGGGTGTCTATGCTGAGAGACTCCTGTAGCCACACCTGGTCTGGGCTTCTCCTCTGGGAAAAGTGGGTCAGGTCTGTGCTTCTGGCAGGATAAGCTGCTTCCGGTTCTCCATACTCCCTAAACAGAAGCCAGCGGATGTCCTGGTTCACCTTGATCACTGGTTTTGGGGGCTTTTTGCCTATTTTAATGGCATTTTGACAATGAGCTGTTCCAGTTTTGTGGTAGTAGATCCCAAACACTCAGATCTCAAATCATTCTGTTCTCGAACTAGTCCACCTGTCATCCTGAGGGCCACTCGGGGAACAGCAGGACAGAGTGGCTACTTCTCCTGATCCTGGGGTTTGGGAACACAGTGTAGCCATGGAGTTGGTACCCGGGGTCTTTACCTGCATCTGGTCATTTGCCTCAGCTCCTTAGGCATGTCACCACTTCTCCAGAAAAGGTGCTAGTCAGTGTGAGGTGTGCTGTGAGGGCTGGGGAGCACTGTGAACCTGGCTCCACCTTGAGCTCTGCCCTCTGTCACTCTGTGACCTGCGGTAGGATGTCTAGCTCCTGCTTTCTGGAATTTCCACAGCTATAAATGGGGCAAATAATAGCATCTATCATGGATTTGGAGAGGTGAGCTGAGAAAATCTGTAAAACAGCTCAGCACTGGTGCTTGGGAGGCTCTCACTACTGCCTTTGGCTAGTCCTGTGTCACAGCCAGGGTGTGTCCTGATGGGGAAGTGGGGAGCAGAGTCTGCAGGCAGCAGCTGCGCTGGAAGTCAGTGTCCCTTCTGGGATAAGCTGAGTGTGGGTAACACAGCCCAAGCTGTGCTGTGGACTCTTATGACCACCAAGTGTCTTCTCTGTCCTCCCATGTGTGGGAACCTCCTACTAGCTGACGTGTCACTGTTTTGCTGGCCACAGAGTGCAGAAAAGAAGCCGGAAGTCAGTGTCCCAGAAGCTGAGCCCTCCCCAGATCTCCATACGGAGTCAGTGGAGTCACTGACAAGGGTGCCCACAGCTGGGCCTGAGGGAGCAGGAGGCCGCACAGAGCAGCCCTTCATTGTGCTGGGGCAGGAGGAGTATGGGGAGCACCACTCATCCATCATGCACTGCAGGTGGGCTGGGCTGGGCTGCGGCAGGCAGATGTGCACATGAAGATGTTGGCAGGAGGGTGGGGCTGGTGGTGGGAGGTGGGTAGTCTCCAAAAGACCATGGTCCCCAGGTCAGAGGAGGACTGGCCCACTGTCTGGTAGCTGATGGGGGCTGCTGTGCAGTGGTCAGCCCCTGGCCTTTGCAGTGCTTCTCTGAGTTTTAGGAATAAGCTGCCCTTGTGTTAACTTCCAGTACTCTTCAGTTTTAAATTGCTTTGTGGGCAAAGGCATGGTGCTTAATAGTTCTTATTGAGTGAAGGAAAACTTACAGCTTACACTCATGCTTCGAATGTAAGCCTTTTGGGATGATTGCTGAGCGCAATTGGGAAGTTGGACAATTGGCTGTTTCAACATTAGTTGGGAAGGGTGAGGCTGGGTGCCCACACCATCTTTCCTCTCTTGTGTAGAGTGGATTGTTCAGGGAGGAGAGTCGCCAGCCTTGATGTAGATGGGGTCATCAAAGTATGGTCCTTCAACCCCATCATGCAGACCAAAGCATCCTCTATTTCCAAGTCACCGCTGCTCTCTCTGGAATGGGCTACTAAACGGGACAGGCTGGTGAGTGACGTTTTGCCTGTGTGCTTGCTCTGGGTAGCAGGTTCTTGTTTGCAGTGGTGGTGAAGTTACTGTATTAATAAGAAGTAAAAAGAGGGGACCCTCTGCCCCGAGCCTGCCTGGCTTCCCAATGTCTCCTGTGCGTCTTTATTGTTCATCACTTTCTCAGTGTGCTCCCTCCTGCCGCTGAGACCCCTGCTGTCTGCCTCAGTGGCAGCAACTTACTTTGATGAGATGGAATGCTTCAATTTGTGATTTCCATGGATCTGATGGCTTGAAGGAAGAGCAGTGTTCTTTTCCCCAGACTTTAATATTTGAGATAGGATTTGTGTAGTTAAGGAGGTAAAATTGATTTCATACTTTTCCTTCTATTCCGTGTATCAGGAATTCTGCCATGTAGCCCAAGAGGCAAGCACTGGCTCACTATAATTGCTGACAACTGTAGGATTTATAGGCATCTTAGGGCCTTCTCTGGGCCAATCCATTTGCCAAGCAGATGCTAAGGTCAACATTTCGCTAATATTTCTTTATTTTGTTTTGTTTTTGTTTTTGTTTTTTTTTGAGACAGAGACTTGCTGTGTGATTCAGGCTTGTTTTGAACTCTCTTTGTAGCCCAATCTGGCCTCAAATTCACAGTGATCCTCCTGCCTCAACCTTCCAAGTGCTGGCATTACTTGGGTGTGCCACCATGCCAGGCCTAGCTAATGTTTCTGAGGGAAAAGATGCCTTCAGACTGGGCTGCTCCTGGTGATACTTATCATCTTTGAAGATTTTTACTATATAAATTACAGGTTCCTGGAGGCAAGAACAACCTTTTTATGTTTTTCTGGAGGTCTTTATAGAGCCAGAGCCAGAATTGTTGCCTGAAAAAGCAAATGGTCAGTGACCCAGACCCTATAATCAGTCAGGGACAGTACAAGGAGTGAGCAGGAATCTCGATTAGAACAGCTGGCATTTATAGTCAAAGAGAAGGAGGAATGGAGACTCTCATGTAACCAGCCAGCATATTTTCACATTTCAGTGATAGCACATCTCTCCTATCCCTTAGATGTTGTGTCAGTCTGTTTTCTGTTGCTGTAATGAAATGCCTGAGGCTGAGAATTTCATAAAGAAAAGAGTTTACTTAGCCCACAATTCTGGAAGTTCAAGAGTATAGTGGCGATCTTTGTCTGGCTCTAGTGAGGGCCCCCCCTTGGTGGCATCACAACATAGCAATGGCAATGGCCCGAGAGGAGTGTCTGCTGGAGGGAGAGATTCTGTGACAAGATGGGAAGCCAGAGATAGATTTAGGCACCAGACTTGAGAGAGCAAGTGAGAGAGGGTACTGACTCTGGGAGACATGCATTAATGCCTGTAAGAGTTGAGCCCGGTGATCTCATCACCCACCATCTCTTACGTTATACCCACTGTCATGTGACCACACTGCAGGCTTAAGTCTCTGGTGTGAAAGCTCTGGGGTACCACTCCCCCACACCCAAGCGCAGCCAGTGCTGTAGTTTTGCTTCTTTCTCAGTTGGCTTGGTGTCTTTCTGTAACTTTTGCTTGTTTGAGATATGGTTTTGCTATGTAGGCCAGGCTGGCCTCAAACTCACAGTGATCCTCCTGCCTCAGCCACCTAAGCACTAGGATTAGTGGGCGTGCTGCTAGGCCCAGCCTTTTTCTACGTTTGAAGTATGGCCTGTTGTGCCCAGATTTCTTGTCTGCGTGGATTGGTGCAGGAGGGGCTGGCCCTGCAGGTGGCCCAGTCTGGCACCTCAGAAGGATCGGCCTGGCCCATTCCTAAAGTCCTCCCTGATTGCAGCTGGTGGCTTCTCATTCTAGCTCTTACTAGGCAGTGGTGTGGGCACAGTGCGTCTCTATGACACAGAAGCCAAGAAGAATCTCTGTGAGATCAACATCCACGATGACATGCCCAGGTGAGCTGAAGCCCTGCCTGTCATGGTCAGGGCCGCCCCACTGCAGGTGCTCTGCGAAGCCAGGCCTGCCCTCCACTCTGGGCAGGCAACTATCTGACCATAGCCCATGTGTGTTGCAGAATCCTGTCTCTCGCGTGCAGCCCCAGTGGGGCCTCTTTCGTCTGCTCGGCTGCAGCTCCAAGCCTCATCTCGCAGGTGGACTCCTCGGCACCAGACATTGGCAGCAAGGGCACGAACCAGGTTCCTGGAAAGCTGCTGCTGTGGGACACGAAAACCATGAAGCAGCAGGTACGGTCCCTGCCCAGGCTCCCTGTGGCTGGCGCTCTGTCTGAGGGTGTGCTGCCCTTGCACCCTCAGGTTCGGACAGGTCTTTTTCCCTTCGGCTTTGGTCTCCTTGGATTTTTGACTTGTGAGAAAATGTCCAAGCTTCTAGTGTTGAAAAGTAATGTACCCTGTTGATCACATTGTGAGCAGCTGAAGGTATCAGCATCATACCATGGCCTCAGAAGTCACCTGGCCTGTTCCAGAGCACCATGCTGGGGCAGACCCCTTCCAGCTCCAGCACTGTAGGACTGCACGAGTTCCAGCAGTAGCCAGCCACGATGAGAATGGGTGCTTATTCACACACAGTGACAGCTGACCCTCCTGGCTGATTTGCCCCAAACAGTAGCAAGAGCTGAAGGAGTCCTTGAATTCCTAGAGTGAGAAATACCCTTACCTGTTGAGAAGGCAGTGGTGGTCCTTGTTACAACTCTTCCGAAGCGATGTGCTCTGTACGTGGACTGCACTGTTCCCTGGTGCCGCCAGGTACACTGGGCCCTGCCTCACAGTTGGGCTGCATTCCACATGTACAGTTTGTGTCTTCCCGCCTCTGCCTGGGATCTCAGGCTCACCGGCTGTGTGCCCATGGCAGTCTGCAGGCTCACGAATCTGTCAGGGCTGTCTTGGCCTTCGCTCCCTGACACGTGTGCCCACCGTCCTGGTTTTCCTCGCTTGGCACACGTGCCCTCTCAGACCCTGGGCATGGTCCTTTCTTCTGCTCACGTGGCCAGTCTGAATAAATGCTGCCACTGCTACTCTGAATTGGGCTTCCGGTCTGCCTGCTGCTCATCATTTGTGGGACACGGCCTGGCACCTCTTGGCTACAGGAGCCCTGGAGGCCTCTGCCCCCTGCCTTTCTACCACTTTAATTTGGTCTGTCTTCATTGTTGATATTTTGGTATTTTCCTCCACATCTCCTAGCACAATACATAACCTTAAGTTTACTTGTGATTTTCAGAATTTTTATTTAATTTGAATGCATAAAAATGTTGAAATCATAGATATATGTTATAATAAGCAGAAAAAACAGTAAAATGAGTGCCTGGTTTATTTTTGCAGAACTGGGAGTTCAACCAGTGGGCACTGCACTGCTGAGTTGCATCCCACCTCCTGAGTTTCTCTTTTGAGATAGATTCTTGCTAAATTGCCTGGGCCGGGCTCTAACCTTGGATCCCTCTGCATCAGCTCCCTGTGTGTCTGGGGTTGTAGGCATGTCCTGCTGAGCCTGGTTTGAGTGCTGGTTTAAATGTGGAACACTTCACTGATGCTTTTTGTGATCGTGTGCCTTTCCCAAGCTCTGGCTACTTCCATCTTCCATAGAGAGGCTAGTTTGCTGTGGTCTTACATTTTAGAAATTAGTGTAAGACATAAATATTTATCCCCAAACACATAGCTTTTGTCTTACATGTCTTCTAAATTTATATGAGTGGAATCGTGTGTATTTTTCTAGATTTTTACATGGTTCAGTCCCACCTGTGGCTGACTGCTGAAACTGAGAAGTTCATACCCAGTGGAACGGCTTTTGTTGTCCTCTCTCTGGCTGCTTTTACGATCTTATTTTCTGTGTATTTGGGTGAACATTTTCAGACTTTTTAAATTTTACCTTATTTTAAAACTCCTCAGAATTTGTCAGGTTTTCAAAAGCAGATTTATCCTTGGTCAGTTAGTCTTTTTTTCCCCAGTATTAAACTCTGTGGTTCTCTTGCCCTCTGGAACTTTAGTTAGATAATGTTTTAACTGTTTTCTTCCTCTTTTTTGTATCACTGTGCTGTATTTATGCCGATCACTTCCTTAACTTTGGCGTTTCTAATTCCCCGGGTGTATGTACTGTTGTGTTTGATTAGTGTGGATATTCATTTCAGTTACTCTGTGTCTCATTTTGGCACACCTGCTCCTTCCTGCTTATACTCTCCCACTTTGCCCATGTTTCCAGTTCTGCTTTTTATTTTGTGAAACGTGTCGAGTGTACTGATTTTCTGTTCTGCCTGCTAATTCCAGTACCGGAAGGCTCTGTGAGTCTGGTTCTGCATGCTGCTATATGAGGGGTGCTCACCCCTCCTCTATTCCCCTGGGTCCTGAGAATTTAGACTGTGGGTTCATGTTTCTGGGAACCTTATGCTTGTGAACATTTGGAGGTTGGGTGGAGGTGCATTTCTCTGGGAGAGATCTACTTTCTCTTATGCCAGGTGCCTGAGAACTTTAAAATACTATTTGAGGCTTCTCAGGCTGCACAGGGATTGAGAATGGGGGCTTTAAACCCATGGCACAGACAGTTTGTGGTTATGGATTTGCAGAAGTGAATTTTCATCTCTGTATAGTATATTATTTTTAGTTTAGTTATAGTATATTATTTTTGTTCTTGTAGTGAGGATGTAGCTCTTTGGAGTCCTAGCCCTGTGTGGAGATTTATTACTTGACCTTGAACAAGTCCTACATTTGGGGTGGTGGGCTTCTGAGTTTCCTGCGTGTCTTTGTGACTTTTTTGTTTCTGAGACACAGTACCTGACATCCCTACATTAAAGGAAGATTTATTTTAGCTCACAGTTTATAGAGGTTTCGGTACATAGTCAGCTGGCTGTGAGGCAGGGTGGGTTGGCAGACAGGAAGTCATGAGCCTCCCCTTCCCTTCTCTGCCATTTAGGCTACCAGCCTTTTGGGTGATGTCATCCGCACCCGGGCTGGGGCTTCCCGTTTCACCCAGAAGTATGATAAGCCCAACAGTGGACTAATCTAGTACCTCACACCCTTGATCCCTCAATCTGCATTCCCACGTCCTAGATCTTGCCCCCTCTCAAAAGCCCCCACTGTGCACACATGAGGCTTTGGGGGACATCTAGATACATGTCATACAAGCTGTAAGAATGAGGATAGGGTCATCTGTATTTGCTGAGTGCCTCGTAATGAAAGCCGGCTTTGGGAGGCCATGTTCCTCAGAAGTCCTGCCCTTCCCTTACTTTTGGCCTTAGAGGCCTTAGACACATATATTGGCCATGTGTGTCTAAATAATATTGCATGACATTCATCTTGCACTTTTAGTCTTAGAAGAATATCTTAGGGCTCCTGGGGTCTAAAGTGCTTGAAATGATGTCCTTTATTCATCATTCAATTAGTTAATAGATTGTAAGTTACGTGATGTGGTTTCCTTAGCTGCTGTAGTTCTAAGTGTTTCTGTGAGGAGATCTTGGGCTTGATGGGAAAAGATCCACATCCCAAACTGGGGACCTTTGCTTGGCCAGTCCTCTTCCTGAGCTGCCTGTCAGGAAAGGCAGTGCTGGGAGTGTGATGATATTTCAATAAAACTTAGCTTGGAATGCTCTTGGGGAAAGTGTGGCTGCTGAGATACGGGTTACCCCGCTGGAACTGTGGCAGCATGGAGACTGGAATGTCTGTAGGCACCGTGACCTGGCCTTTTAGAATAGCACAGTGGCTCACAAGCACGGCCCTTTTGCATAGGCTTAGGTGCATTTTTCTGGAAGCAGCTCATGGAAAGAGGGAGTGGCAGAAGAGCCAGTGGGTGTTGGTTTTGCTCATCTTGCTTGTGTTTGGCGTTAATAGCTCCAGTTCTCTGTGGACCCAGAGCCCATTGCTATCAATTGCACAGCCTTCAATCACAACGGAAACCTGCTGGTCACAGGGGCAGCTGATGGCGTCATCCGGCTGTTCGGTAGGACCTGAGCTGCTCCTTAGGCTGCCCACCATTATGGGACCCCAGTTTCACATGCAAGTGCTGAGCCTCACTCTGGCCTGAGTCTTCAGAGCACCCAGCACAACTGACTTGCATATTGTCAGTGCCAGTGGATATGGGAGTGGGGTGAACGCAGTAGTCCTGTGGTCCTAAGTTATCACCGGAGTCCTCGTTTGCTGCATGGGAAGTAGGAGGACACATGTGAGCAAGGCCGTTGGCTCACTGCCTGTGAGTGGCTCATTCTCTGTCCTCAGGGAGACATTTCCAGGGCCTAAGATGGGGTGAGGGATCATTGACGGCTCCCCAGGGTGTCTTAGGGGAGTGAAGGAGGCCTTGGAGGCAGGGCCCCTGTTGTCCTTTTGCTCTCATGGGCTCCCCAGATGAGCTGTGGCTCCCCCAGGGATTCTGAGCCTTGCTTTGACCCAGTGACCAAGCTGCTTCTGCAGCTGCAGGGCAGACTGGCTTGGTGGGCACTATTGGGCCAGGTGGCCTGAGCAGTGGGTGGTGGCTCCTGAGGTGCCAGAGCACAATCTTAGTGGTGTTTCCCCCTCAGACATGCAGCAGCACGAGTGTGCCATGAGCTGGCGGGCCCACTGTGGGGAGGTATACTCCGTGGAGTTCAGCTGTGACGAGAACGCCGTGTACAGCATCGGTGAGGATGGCAAGGTAGGCACAGCGGATCTAGTGGACAGCAAGTGGGATGCCTTGGGGGGCTGGCGATAGACCTGTCCATGTGGCCTACAGCCCTTTTTCCTAAAAATGAGACTGAGCCAAGACAGTTGGTCCGAAAAGCCGGAGACCAAAAATGCCAGCCTCACAGGTGTATTTGGGTAAAGATACACCTTGATGAGTTTGGTAATTGTGTGATTGTGTGAGCACCATAGGTGCACAGTGTGCCGAGCAGGGCCGGGGCGGAGGCTGGCCTCCCAGGCCTGAGCTGAGTCTGAGGAAGCAGAAAGGGTGCCCAACCCTGCAGGGAGGAGGAAGTGCCCTCTGGAGCCCCTCTCTGGACAGTTGTTTTGGGAAGCAGGAATCAGAGCTGCCTTGCCAGGGAGCTGGGGTGGGCAGTGGTGGGGAGACGCTGGCCTGTCATCTGCGCTTTCCTGTACTTCTGGTGCCTCATGCTGTTGTGTTTCCGCAAAAGTAAGACCTGATCTTATATTTGACTTTTGGCTTAAAAGGGGCAGTGGGGCATATTTTCAGGGTCTGACTTTTTTTGTGTAATCTATATTTATTCATGTACAAAAATCTACATTGTTTTCAAATACAGTCATGCTATACCTTTCTGGAACATTGTCAAGACTCAAACTCCAAAATCCAACCTGAATTTCTTGCCCGTTGGCCGTACTCTCTCATGTCCAGCAACAGAGCTGTCCTTAAACCAGCGCTTCTTGTCCACGTAGCCTGTTGGTAGTGCTTGATTACAACACACAGTGTCCTGAGTCAGGAAGAGTCGTGTTACACACAGCCACCTCCATCTGTTAGCAGTGTGCACATTACTTGTGCCTGGAATCTGGCTTGGTCACAAGTCATGAGTTCTGTGTTTACACAGGTGTTTACTTCTCATCTGAAGGTACCTGCTTAGGTGTTTACAAATACTTAATTATAATTTATATTGTTTATTAGTGTCAGTGTGATTTGTATTTTGTAAATACTGTTTTATAATTCAATATGCTCATGGTGTTTTGCAGCAGACATACTAAATGTGTCTGCCTGGTTGATGACCTTACCTGGGGCTTATTTTTTGGAATAGGGCTTATATTATGAGCATCCAGAAAAATCATGCTAGGGCTTACTTTCCAGTTGGGTCTTATTTGTATGGTAACTACCTATTTTCTGTGTTGAAAACAGGAATTTCAAGGTCAGTTGTTTTGGGACCCCTCATTTGTTGCACAGGTTGACCTCAAACTCCTAAGCTCACCTGATCTTTCTGCCTGAGTAGACAGGAGGATAGGTCCTGTGCTTGGCTGTGCTTGGCTTCAGTCTCTCATTTGAAAACTGTAGGAAGCACTTTGGAGGGAAAGCCTAGCTTCTTGTTTGTGTGGGTAGGATTCCTAGCCACGAGGGGTCATAACCAAGCAGTTTGGCCATGGAGAAAGGTGAGGGATTATACACAGGACAGTCCATGAAGTGTGTGATGGGCTGCACTCGTGAGGAGCCGGAAGTGGATGTGGAATTTGTCCTCAGTCAGAGCGCCCCTAATAATAACATGCACTTGGTGCCGCCCCTGCTTGGGAGCCCATGAGCCAGGCAAAGCGGCTGCTGCCAGTTTTCCCCCAGGGTCAGACCAGAGGGAACTGGAACAGTTGGACTTTGACATGAGGTTGATGACTGTTTTTGTGGATTTTCTTCCTGATAAACATTATGTTGGCAAGAGATGGGACTTGGGATGGCCTGGGACTGTCTTCTTCAGCCCCGGTTCTGTCTCTGGAGCATGCAAGGCCTGTTCAGGCTTCGGCTGTGGCAAAGGGAGGTGGTTGCGCCCAGTCCTGCACTGGGCACCTGGTGTCTTCCTGGCCGGCCCATCCTTCCCTCTGGCCTGTGCTAGTCTCTGCTGAGATCGTGCTGCTTTGTGCCTTGTCTGCAGTTCATCCAGTGGAACATCCACAAGAGCGGCTTGAAGGTGTCTGAGCACAGCCTCCCCTCAGACGCCACGGGCCCCTTTGTGCTGTCCGGTTACAGCGGCTACAAACAGGTGCAAGTGCCCAGGGGCCGGCTCTTCGCTTTCGACTCAGAGGGCAACTACATGCTGACATGCTCTGCCACGGGAGGTGTCATCTACAAGGTACCTGTGTGTGGGGTTGGGCTGGGGTCTCCTCCCCTGCAGGGCTCTTCGGCAGGGGACAGACAGTGGCCAGGTCTCCTTGTGCAGGCTGCCTATCACATCCTGTTGGGAGAGCAGGGTGGGGAAGGACACCAGGTACCCTCTTTCTGTTGTCTGTTTGCCATCCTTGCCGAGGTTCTGTCCTATCCCTGTTCTTGGGAACAATTCCCATTCCAGAAGCCATGAAGGAGCAAAGACCCGGGAGTGGTTGGGTGAGGAATGTGCCCCAACTGTGTCTACAGTTCATCCAGTGGAGCATCCACAAGCGTGATTGAAGGTGTCTGAGCACAGCCTCCCCTGGCATGTGCTGGGCATTTTATGTCACTTCTGGCCTAGTCTAGATTTATTATTTCATGAGGTGCCCAGGGGCCAGATACATTTTCAGCTATATTTGAGACAGACATGTGAAGCCATTGTTTGTCAAACCGTGATGTGATGGAAGTTGTCCATGTGATTTTTGTTCCCCAGTTTACACATTTGTTTTAAATCTATCTAATTGTATAAAATTACACATTTTACTAATGCCACGCAGTGGAGGAATACTGAAGATACGTGGTTAGCCGAGAGGCACATGCCTGGTGTCAAATGAGTTCAAGTCTGAGCTTTGGTGGGGTGGTGTTTAGTTCCTAGTGTTCGGGAGTCCCACACAGTGAAAAGTTCTTAGAGTCTTTCTGGCCATCACACATTTCAGGCAGCACTTATGTGCCAGGCACTGGACTTGACACTGTAGTGTGTGCTGAGGACACTCAAAGAGGACCTCTGCTCTCTTGGGGCTCACACTCAAGCTCAGGCACAGCACGGAGAATGTGGAGGGCAGCCTGTGGAAGATGCTGCTGGGCACAGCCCTCTGGGAAGGCTGGTGACGGTGCTCCAGCCTGATTGCTAGGTGGCAGTGCTGGTGGGATCAAGGACAGGCCTTGTGCTCCGTGGTCTGTGTCCCCGTGGTGGGAAGTGAATCTTAAACAGCTGAGCAGATGCTTGAGCAGATGGAAGCTCACAAGAGGGTGCTGTATGAGAGCAGCCACAGAGGTCCTGGCCTGGGATGACCTTGGAGTTGCAGGGAGGGAGTGTCTCAGGGCCGTGTCCATGTGAGGCTGTAGTCAGGGAGGTTGGCCCATGTCCAATCCTGGAATTCAGACAGACTACACAGGTGTGCTGGGCATAGCCACCTGCCGTGATTAGGACGGTAGCCAGGCCCAAGGCGATTGGCCACCACAGTGTTTGCATGTGCACTGCCTGCTGATGCTGCATCCTCTCTCCTGACCTCTTGCAGCTAGGTGGCGACGAGAAGGTCCTGGAGAGCTGCTTGAGCCTCGGTGGTCACCGGGCACCTGTGGTCACCGTGGACTGGAGCACTGCCATGGACTGTGGGACCTGCCTCACCGCCTCCATGGATGGCAAGGTCAAGCTGACCACTTTGCTTGCCCACAAGCTTTGACAGGAGGCTGAGGGATCCCAGAACTGGCACAGTCCCAGGGATACAGGACAGGGTGGAACGCTCACTGCTGGTCCCGGCCAGTGAAGCAGGGACAGACTGTACACCGCAGTGACCATGACCAGGAGCCTCCTGGGGCCAGTGGCACACACTTCCAGAAGCCAGACGGAAAGCTCCGGGAGGAGGAGGGGCAGCGTCTGGCACCGTGCAGACCCAGGAGTGACAGTGTTCTCTGTGTATTTGCTTGTCTTCTTTTTGTATAAAAGAGAATGCACTTGACCATCAGCTGGTGTCCCTTTTGAGGACGTGTGAGTCCCTGCCCTGTAATCACCAGCGACGACCTTCTTTCGCTACCACCTCTTCCTGTCCTGTACCCACCAGGTCCCCAGGCTTTGCCAGTGAGAGGACATGGACCACAGGTGGTTTCTGCCGGGCTCTAGCCAAGGCCCGAGTGTCTTCTGACTGCCAGAGAGTTGGTGGCATTTGTGACAGAAGCCTTTCAGGATGGGGCAGGGGCTGAGGCCCCTGCTGCTGGCTGCCCCTTGCACCTGGTGCCTGCTGTTCCTAGTGTCCCTTTCTGGTGGCTCTTATTTTCCACCTGACATCCTTGGGGCTGAATGGTGCCTGCTGTGTGCGCCCTCTGCTGGTGAATGTTGAGACAGTCAACAATGGCCAAGTTTGGGGAAGGGCACAAGGATTCTGGCCTTTGTGCGGGCAGTGGCCACACCCCTACCTGAGGCCTGCACCCCTCTCCCTGTCAGTCACCCTGAAGAGGCAGATTCCCCACAAGTGGGAGTCACCACCCTACCCCTCCTGCATTCCACAGCTGAGACAGCAGGACCTTCAGCACTGAAACAACAGCCTCGTCCATGCCACCCAGGGACCCCGGATGTCCACCCAGTGCTCGCAGCTTTCATTTGGGCTGAGAGTGTGGTCTCACCTCCTCTCCTCAGATTCTGTGTCACAGCTCATTCTTTGACCGCAGTGCCCACGACCGGTTCACTGTCCTTCAGGGTCAAAGCTCCGCAGGAACCCTTAAAACCCTGGTTGTCTTCTCTGTCCCTCGGTCCTCCCAGAAGTGCTCTTCTTCAGCTACAGAGTGTGGAATTCCGCCTGTCCTTTATGGCACCTGCTTGCTGTCCACCCAAGAGCCCAAGCAGCTCCTCCTTCAGTATCTGGGATAACGGGATCAAGGCAGAAGAAGCCTCAGTTGCCCCTGTATGCCCAGCCTGCCCTGGCCTGTGGCGAGAGCCTGGCAGATGCATTTCCAGTTCTCTCTTTCCTCAGGCACCAGCTGGGACCTCTGCTTGCAGGCTCAGACTCAGGCCCAAATCCAGCCCCTCTGTGTGGGATCAGATCCCAGGGCTCAACATGATCCCACAAGTACAGCATACCCAGTATGGACTCACTCAGCCTAGTGAATTGTTACTTCACACAATAAATATAATGTTTTGTCCGTCAATTTAAAAAATTGAAAAGTGTTAAAATCCCAGTGCTACAGGTATTGGTTCTGGTATATATAAATGTCACAGCTTGGTCCCTTCTACCTGAGACTGCTCTGAAAACAAGGGGGTTTTTTTTGTTGTTTTTTTGGTACCAGGGATTGAACTGCATTCCCACCCAGCTATCTTCCCAGCCCTTTTTTCATTTTTTATTTCGAGACAGGTTCTCAAGACCTCAGTGATTTGCCCAGGCTGGTTTCAAACTTGCCAAGCTTTCCTCTGCCTCAGCCTCCTAGAGTGCTGGAATTACAGGTGTGCAGCGCCACGTCTGATTTAAAACAAGGCCTTTTATGCAGCCACTCAGGTTTCTTGCTGTTGGGCCTCATTTTCTTTTCATTCTAAAAGACTTATTTAGGTTTGCAGTGCTGGGGACTTAACCTAGGGCCCAAGTGTTAGGCAAGAGCTTTACCACTGCACTGCAACCCCAAACCAAAACATTATTTTAAAGTGGCTGATTCTAGGTTATGCACAATATGAAACCTGTTTGTCCTCAGGCTATTTCCATTGTAACCATCGGAGTATGCTTTTTCTGTCTTTGATTCCCCTTTCCTTCCCCCTCCCCTCGCCCTCCCTCTCTTTCTCTCTCCCTTCTCCTTTTCCCTCTCCCTCCTCTTCTTGCTCTCTCTCTCCGTTCCCTTCCCTTTTGTTTTTCTTGGGGTTAGCACATGCCCTCTGACTGCAGCTGCACATCAGAGAAGCCCACGTGCTGGGGAGACGTTGAGTTAGCATGCAGGCTGGGCTGCCACTCAGTGTGGGCACTTCCTTGCATGCTCAGGGCCCGGCTATGGTTCCTAGCACTGCTCTGGGCCTCCTTGTCTAGATAAGCAAGTGTTCAGTGTCTTTCTCCATAGCCGGCTTCATACTTCCCCTCTGTCCCTTAGACTTGTCCAGGCTCACTGCCCATGTGAGAGGGTGCTTCTTTGCTTTGACACCACGGTGGCTCTGGACAGCAGGTGGCTGCAGGGTGGCCAGTCAGTCTGCTTCTACCCCAGACTACTGACTTGGCCCTGCACTAACCCTGATTCGCCTTTGCAGGATTGAAAATCCTGGTGCAGAAGAGCAGGGAAGGTGTTCCCCCGGCAAGGGCGGCTCCAATAGCAGCTGACCCAGTGCAAATGACACTTCACTACCCTGACTCCCACTCATAGACCCTGTTTATCAGGTCTAGGGTCACCCCTAGACCTGAGAGTGCCAGGGAAAGGTTCCTCTGGGGCTGCGGACTTGTGTCTCTGGATACATGGCTGCCCTAGGGGCTTCTTTCTGGGTCCCTTTAGAGTTCTTTGAGCCAGGAGCGTGATTCACTGCGTGCCCAGAGGAGCCAGGCGGCCACCTTGCACTGTGAAGCCAGGAAATGCTGACTCGGCTCTTGGGGGCTCCCCAATAGTGTTGACAACCCCAAACCTAACCCTTCCCCTAATTGCTGACCAGAGGTCCAAGAATAAACAGCCAGGCGCCCTCTCTTCTGTGTCTGCAGTTCTAGTTAAGAACTGGGTGCCAGCCGCACAGGTAATTCTAGCACTGTGGCCCAACTCGGTGGCACATGCCTGTAATCCCAGCGTTTGGGAGGCAAAGGCAGGAGGCCGCTACAAATTAAAGGCCAGCCTGGCCTACTAAGTGATGTGCAAGGCTAGCCTGAACTGTATAGTGAAACCCTGTCTCAAAAAGACCAAAATAAATTAAAAATTCAGCACAGCGATACCAGGCAGGAGGATTGCAAGTTCGCCCTCAGCCTGTGCAACTTTAATGATTCAACGAGCCCCTGTCTCGAAATATAAAATCTTTAAAAAGGGCTGAAGATAGAGATCAGTGTAAAAGACCTGAGTTCAATCCCCGGGCTTGGGGGGAGGGAGTGGAGAAGGACGCCAGTGACGGGGCGGAGACACACAACGCTACCTGCAGGGGGAGCCCGAGCCCGGGCGGAAGGGCGGAGGGGTGCGCGGCCAGGCGTAGTGGGCTGCGAGGCGGCGATGCGGATTCCTGGCGGTGGGGGTCGGGGGCACTGCGGGGTCGGAGGGACGCAGAGCGGAACCCACGCGAGCGACTGGTATGCGCGAGCGCGGGGACCCGCGGGCCTGCTAGGCAACTTCTGTCCCGGAAGTTCGGGCAGCTTGGGGTTTGTGATCTGTGGGCCCAACAGGGTGCTGCTTGGCGGAGACCCTGCTTCCGGGGAGGAGAGGCCTCGAGCTTGAACCTAGGGCTTTTGTACTGAGCTGCAGCTACGGCCCTGTTTACTTTTATTTGGAGGCAGGAGCTGCCCTCTTTAGATGCCGGGGTGGATTTAGGCCGTGCACCTCCGGCTGTAATAAATTTCTCTACCTAGTAGGCGGCGCTCTGTTTGCACTAGCTGGTAGGAGTGACTTAACAGCATCCGAATTCCACAGAAATGAAAGGACAGTGGCACAAGTCTGTTCTCCGGCTGGACAGATTAGGACGATGGTCTAGGTTTTTCTTAAATTCTGAGCAGCCATTAGGGACATCTATAAAGGTCACCAAATTCCGAGAAGGATTTCTTACTGTTTTAACTGGGGAGGATGTTCCAGTTGGTTCCTAAGCCGGTGGCAGGGACTCAGTCCTTAGGGCCTTAGCCCTTTCTCTGGATTGGGACTGAGCTCAGTACTGAACGCTGAGGGGAGAGGAAAGACCAAGTTCCACACCTTGGGGAGGGGAAGGGTTCTGGATTCTGCTTTGGGTTCCTGGCACCTGGTTACTGGGCAGGAAATGAAAGTCTGTATGCACAGATGAGAGGCATCCTGAACCATGATTTGGGAGTGGGGTTGTCTGGGCTCCCTGAGGACAGCAGCAGCTGGGATACCAAAGAGCAGGAACACCATTAAGCTCTGCTTCCTGGGAATGCCACCCCCCCTCCAACCCCCCCCCTTCCTATCAGTGGCTTGCAGGGGGCATTACCTCCCAGTGGGGCCTGCTGACCCATGGATTGCCACAGCACCAGACTTTCTTCTTCTTTGTAGGCGTTAGAGGCTGGCTCCCACTTGGCACACCTAGGCTTCTGGCTGCTGGTATGAAAGTAGGATTTACTGTCTTAATCAGAGAATCCGCTCAGTAAGCCTGAGGCCACTTTGTGAGAAACTACAGAAATGGAAACGTTAAAATCTGAGACCAAGAAGAGGGTCCTCCCCTCGTGGATGACAGCCCAGGTGGTTGAGAAGAGGCTGGTGCCTGCAAAGACTCCCAAGAGGAAGAGGACAGCAGAGCCAGCGAGGACAGCGAGGTAGGGCAAGCTCTGGCTGGAGCATTTGGGAGAAGACTGGGAGCGGACTCAGCGGTGCCCACTGAAATGGGCATGTGCCCTTGACTTCTTCATAATTGAGGGTCTTTGTCCCCTGCTGACAGGCACCCAAGTGCCTCTCCCCCCAGGCCAGCATAGTCATCACAGACAGTGAATTCTGCCATTGGCCAAGTGCTCAGGTGCAAGTTGTCCAAAATTCCAGGCTTACAACAAAAGGTTACCATCAGTGGACCAGGCCCCAGGATGCCCTGGTCAGAGCCTGGGACACAAAGTGGAGCAGCAGGAAGAGCAGTGGGACAGGTTCATTGGGGTGGTAATGGGTCAGGAGGGCCTTGGGCTGCGACTTTGAGTGGGGTTTGCATCCCTGCTGCTGTGTTGGGCTGGGCTCCCGGCCTTTAGCACCTTCGCGGGCTCTTTCTGCTCCCGAGTACAGATCTCTTAGAGGGTCAGGTCACAGCCTGCTGGTTTTTGTCCCCTGTGTGTGTTTCATGGGTGACTCTCAGGAGCCAGCTGGCTGTCATCCCTTACACCCAGATCCGTGTAGAAGGTGAGAATCCCCAGGCATGTTCCCAGGCCCCAGGGACCAAGTCACAGTTGTGCCTTCGGGAAGCCCCTCAGCCCAGAGGTGTAGCTGTGCTGTCTTTGGTGGGAAGGCTGGGGGATCTGGCTGCTTTGTTCTCACTTCCTTTGTCCTCATGAGATCTGAGACCCTCTCTCCCTGTCCGTGGCTTTGTGTGCTTCAGATGCCTGGCAGTGAAGACAGTGTACTGCATGAATGAGGCTGAGATGGTGGATGTGGCCCTGGGGATCCTGCTTGAGGTAAAGTCACTGGGTTCCCTTCCTTAGAGTGGTTGAAGCTTCATGGGAGAACCAGCTAAAGGATGGTGCCTGGGGCCTTGCGCCAGTTCCGGGCCAGGCCTTGAGGAGCCCCTGCCTGCTCTCCCAGCCCAGCTGCCCTGAACCTCTCCTAACATGGGCTGTGCGCCATGGAGTGACCCTTTGGGGTCAGGTCCTGGGCAGGGAGCTGGTGTATGGAGCAGCGTGTTCTCTGTTTGGGGTGACTGTGTATCCTGGCATGTGTAGATGGCATGTGTAGATGAAGTGTTCCCTGGGGTGTTCTCAGAATGGGGCCTGCTGGGGGAGATGCTGTTCCCATAGCAGAGCACTGTGCATTTCCTCACTTCCTAAGGTACTAATAAATGGGTCACTTTAGGGCTGTGTAGTACTTTATAGGTTGCCACATGCTTGCATACAGCGTGTTACCTCATGAGCCCTCACAGTGGCCCTGTGTTATTCCCCAGAACCTGTGACCCTGGGACTTGTCTTCGTTCTGTGAGGGACCTTGAACCCACACCAGTTTTGTACTCTGGGCCACTTCCATTCTTATTCTGCCTTTCCAGCCACTGTTTCCTATTGTTTTTTTCCTCTATCCTCAGCTGTTTCTTCCACCTCTGGCTGTTTCTCCCTCCTGGGTCCTGAGGAGTTTGTGTAGGTTGAAGAGACAGTGTTGACTGTGAGGCAGGAGCAGTACCTGGCCTTACCTGCTGGCTCTGGATGTGTCCTGTGTTACTGATAGACCAGACTTTGGGAAATGAGCTGCCTGCACTGAACCTGCCATTTCCACTGCTCCACAGGGCCACGCATGGGAGAAGCCCCAGGAGGAGTTGGCTGTGGGGGGCACTGAGAAAGCCGAGCTCTGCCCTGCTGGCCCCTGGTCCCCTCACACAAGTTCTGGTGGCAACAGCGAGGAAGAGGACAGTGAGAATGACAGGCCCACCCTGGGTCTCAGCTCTTCCCAGAGGCCAGGGATGCCCACCTCTGCCTGCAACAGGGACCCCAAGCAGGAGGAGGAAGAGGAGGTGAAGGAGGAGAAGGTGGAGGAGGAAGAAGAGGCGGAGGATGTGTTCAAATATGTCAGGGAGATATTTTTCAGCTAAGGGATGAAGCACCTGCTGACTTTCTGCTGTGGGAAGCTGGACCCAGCTTGGGCTGCCTCCATGAACCTGGCTGAGTCATCTTACCTCAGAGGCCCCAGATGCTCTGGGCCTTGGGGACTTGCCGCCCTGGGCCGGCTCCCGGCTTAGCAGGTCTGGAATCCCAGGCATTTGTTGTGTGAAGTTACCAGATTCCAGGGGAAATGAGGCCATGGGGTTCAGCTTACTAGAACCAAAGGCAGCCTGATACTGTTCAGGGAAGAGCAAAGCTGCGAAGCACACTGGAATGTGTAGACTTCACTCGGCACAGTCTCGGGGGAGGCCTCTGTCCCCCGGTAGTCTGTCAGGAGCGCCAGCTCTGCCTGCAGACAGGGAACTGGACAGGCCCCCCTCCCCAAAGCCGCCACCTTCTTGTGAAGTGTGAGTGGAACAGGAGCACAGAGGACAGACCACAGACAAAAGACCAAGCCAGAGCCCACGTTTCTGTCTGTATTCAGTGTGGCTTTTTCCAGGTATAGAATGAGGAAATCATTCTAATATGTCAATGCTGAAAAATACACAAAATCCCCCATCGCCCGAGTCCTTACGCATCTGTTCTTTTGGTTCTGGGTGGAGAAGTGAGGGGAACCATTCAGTCAGGCTCCCTTTGCTTGCCTGCAGCAACATTCTGTCTTGAATTCCTAGGTTACATAATGGTAGTGGGTGGCCGGCTGACCCCGCACTATCTGCTTCCAGCCCAGGGACCTTTTTAGAGGACCCTGCAAAGTCAGAAGCATCTCTTCACGCCCCTTGTGTTTCTCTGTTGGATCTCTCGACAGTCATTCTTGGGCCTTTGGAAGTGGCTCCCACAGCCACTCAGCACAGAGCAAGTGCGGGTGCTGCAGACCTGGAGATACTGAGGTGCTTTCAGCATGGTCCTCTTTGTTGCCATCAACTTTCACGAGGCTCTGGTTTGGTGATCTGGTAAATCAGCCTGGAAATAACCATGGCAGGATTCCTTCCTTCTCCCCCATCCTGAGTTTAGAGCAAGAATTGCCCATGTGGTTAATTAAAGCAAGAATCCATGTGACAGTGAGCTGCGTGGTTTTGTGTACTTGGAAGGACACAATCCTACAATAAGAAGCTGTGGGTGCCCTCCCACCCTGAACGGTCTTATTCCTTGCCTCTAGGCCCCACATGCTCCATGGAGGTTCCCTCTGCTGGAGGTTGCAGTCAGCGTTAGCTACAGAATATGCCTGGGAGGAAGCGCCAGCCCGTGCTTCTCCAGCACTTGCTTGGATGCTGGGATGAACCCTTGCAGTCACCTCTGCCTATAGGTAGGGCTAGCAGGTCTCAAGCTTGCTCTTGTCCATGTTGGTCCTCGGATGAAACACAGTCATGACCCTGAGCAGCAGGAGGAGTAAGGCCTGGGCCAGGACCAGAGCTAGAAAGCCAGGCCCCAGGAGGGAGAGTCTGACCCATTTCCACACATACAAGAGGAAGAGGCCCAGGCCACTGGCCAGCATCATGGAGGACGTGGCCAGGAATGCCACCACCAGCTGCCATTCCCCCTTGTTTCCATTGCACTGGGCGAGGAGGAGAGGCAGTGGGACAAAGAGTGTGAGCACCAGGGCTCCGTACACGCCAAGCCTGGCCAGGGCCATGCCCACCTGAGGTACCCCTAGGGCCTCCAGCTCTGGGAACTGGTGACACTGCAGGGCACTGATGTTCTTGTCCCACAGGCAGAAGTTGTAGAAGCCAATTCTGAGATTGGGCAGCTCTGTGAGGTTGCCGGCCTTCCAGAGGAGTGCGTAGAACAGCAAGGCGATGACCACAGCCACGAGGGTCATTATCCCCACGAAGGGCAAGTGCTTACCCCTCCACGCCCTGGAGGCGGCCATCTCTCCTGTCCTTTGCAGGGGACCTGTGGGGAAGTCGCATCAGTGAGTTTTCAGCTCTCCCTCTTCCTCAACTGCTGCTTCCTGCTTCCCTCTCCTGGTGCTGCATTCAAAAGCCCAGGAAAACACCCTACTTTGCCCCCAACGTTGCCTGCAGCCAGGACCACTTGTGAGTCCTCCCCTAGAAGGGTTCTGGGCCCAAGGCCCTGCTGCAACCTAAACCCAACCGCATTTTTAACATTTGTGAGAGAGTTTCTCAGATCCTCACTGCCAGGGTGAAGGCCAAGAATTCCTGTTGGTGGGGCCCAAGAAGGTGCTGCAGACCTTGTGGAACCAGGGCTCTCATCATAGCTGTCACAACCACCAGGAGAGCTGTAAGAGGTGCTCCTGAGTGGGCCACGTCCTGGGTGGGTCGCATGTCATTCGAGTCTAGCCTATCCTGGGCAGGCACCACTGTGTTTGCAAAGTTCTGCAGTTCAGAAGCTTGGGCCAGACTACTGCTGGGTTGTCACCTGGTTGTCTCTGGGGGGTCATTACAGGACAGTGGGGTGTCACCTGGGGTGAAATCACACAGTAGCACTCCTTTCTAAATGTCTACATTTTTTCTGATAATAATTTTTATTAACGTTAAGTGTAGGAGATTTTTAAGCTCAGCCTATCCCTGCAACTCAGTTGCTGAGGGTGCTGAGCAGTGATAGCAGGTTCAAGGCCAGCCTGGCCATTTAGTGAGCCGTGTTTCAAGAGAAAAAGGGCTGGAGGTGGAGCTCGGTGGTACAGGTCTTACCTAGTGTGTGTGAGGCCCTAGGTGCCATCCTCAAAGTTGTAAAATAAAAGCCTTTTCTCTCACATGCTCAGAGAACCATTCTTTTTTTAAAATTTAAAAATTTTTTTTTAAAGCCAGTCAAATTTAGCAGTGGGGGGAGGGCGGTGGTACACCAACTTTATGACACTAATGTTAATAAGTTCTGATAACCCACTGCCATTGGACCAGCCCAGAGAACCATTCTTAATACTCCATCAGTATTTTTCTTATGTCTCAATATATTTTCACATAATCATAGTATTGAACGTAATGCTGTTTTCCAAATATTAGGAACACTTTTTTTCAAAAGCCTGGTTGGCACCATGAAATATTCCATGTCACAGCCACTGCACTATTTGCTGACGAGTGGGTTCCTTTTTCCACCCTTGCCATAGGCAGGCAGCTGCCTTTCTGGAATGTGATTTTTCCAGAGGCATTTAATCTCTAAAAGTGCAGTCACTGGGTCAAGGGCAGTGTGAGCTTACTGATTGCAGACCTTCTAGGTATATATAAAAGTGCCTGTTTCTTATACTTTCATTATTTTAAAAAATCCTTATTATTATTATTAATATTTTTACCCAGAAGGGTTTTTCTCAGATTGACCCCTGAAACAGTAGTGTACACACCATACCTTTATCTATGTATGTTTTCAGTAGGAATAAAATAGCCATTCACATGGTGATGGCAAGGAACCCAGAGTTCGAGTCTTGTGAGGCACAGGCCCTGGACTGGAGACACCAAGTGGGCCTCAGCCTAGGACGTCAAGTGAGGCTCAATGGGGATGTGAGGCATGGCCTTTGGTGGCCCTGGTGGGGATGCTGCAGACTAGCTTCACATGAGACCCTCCACGAGCAGCCCTCCTTTCCCAGAGCCCGCTGGAGGGTCTGCCTAACTCCTGACAGGACTTACCACAGGCCCAAATCTATCCCTGCCACAAGAGCAGAGACTTTTCTGCAGCCTTGCCGAGGCCCAGGCGTGGCGGCTGGCCATGAGCAGGGCCCGTCAGGACAGCGAGGTCCTGGAGTGTATGGCCTATGTGTAGCCCTGCAGTGGCTTCCCCAATTTGAGAAGCTCAGTGGGGACACAGACATGGAAGTGGGGCTGTCTCCGGGCCAGCCTTGGCAGCTGCCCCTCAGGGACATTTCCTGGACAAAGGCTTTGAGGTCCATGAGTTAGAAGACCCTTGTTTGAAGGGAGTTTGGAGATCCTGAAAGCAGTGCCCCTTGCTACAGAAGGATCTGTCAAGACTGACAAGCACCTGAGTTACTTTGTCATTAGACTGACGAATGACAAGTTTTAAGCAGTCTAGCCCACGGTGTGGACAAAGTCCTGACATATTTCCTATGACTTTACAGTTTAAACAGACCTGGTAAAAGCCTGTGCTTGCATTTTTAATGGTTTGGGCATTTTAGGATGGGGCACAGATTGCTGGCACGGAAGTCCCAGCTCACGCTGTGCTGTAGGATGCACTGTGAACTTGATCACGTTGCCCTGGGGACACCTGTGCTTATTTAAGTGATCCTTCTGTTTATCCTATTTGACTCCTGTTACACTTAGATTCATAAAATTATTATTAAAAATTTTTGACTTGGAGACAAAGATTGACTTTAAAAAAGTAACCACAGGCTCCTAGGAGAAGAGATTTCATCAGTCACCTCATGGGGCAGCTCCTAACTGGAATCAGGAAGCTTTTTTTTTTGGACTTCTTTATTTTCTCTCAACTGGCTTTTTAGAGATTTTGAATAGACTGGAAGTAAACTAAAACTAGAGCCAAGACATGCAGGGTGAGGCTCGTGGAGAAAGATCTCTGCCTCCCATGTTCTCTCTACCTGCACACAGAATTGCATCGCGGCCCCATGCCTGGTGCTTGATCCTTTCTTCCCTCTGGTGCTGCTGAGACCTGGACCTGCAGCCCTCTGCCGATGGCCAGCACCTCTGTCCCATGCCTGTTCTGCAGGGTGCAACCTGGCTGCTTCCCAGGGGAAATGTGGACAGACTCTTGGGAGAGGAGAGCTGCAGATGAGTCCTCTCTTTTTTCCTGAAATTTTTGTACGGACAGTGTCTGATATTTGGTTGCCAATCTCACAACTCACCTCACCACGAACCTGCCTCGGGTTTGGTTTTTAATAATCCTGGCAATTACATTTTCACTGCAGTAAGCTTTTTCATTCCCTTTCATGATAATCCTGGCTTCCTGCTGAGGGCAGAGGAGAGACCAGTGAGTCATTGTGGCCATTTTTAGATGAATGTTTTCCTGTTTATAATAAAGTAATACATGCTGATTGCTGGAAGCCAGAAAAATATGTGAAGACTTTTACAGAAAAGACTAAAGTCATCTGCAAGTTTTAGTCATAGAATTGACCACTCTTTCAGCATATTTTCTTCTATAATGTTGTTTTGCCTACTTAGGGCTTCCCCCAAATAAGAACTAGCTGGAAAATAATCAGCCTCAAAACTGCCTGCCTATTCCCACCTCATGGGCCTTACAGAACAGTCACCAAGCAAGAGGACCGTGAGGGCACGTGAGGCAGGGACAGGCTAGTGGGGCTGGCGTTTGTGAGTTCTAGTGTTTTCAAGACTTATTTTCTGCTAGGTTTTATTTTCAGGAAAAGAGTAATTGTGATCACATAAATATATTTGCATTTCACTTTGCGAACATCATTGGAGCATAAACATTTCTCTGTGTCATTAGAAAGGTTTCTTAAATGATACATTTAGGGGTTTCATGTGGCTTATAGTTTTTGTAGAATTTGTTTTTGTTTGTTTTTATTGAGATGAGAGTCTCACTGGCTAGTGTGGGCTGGCCTTGAGCTAGCTTATGTAGCCCAGGCTGGCCTCAAACTCACAGTGAGCCTCCTGCCTCAGCTTCCCAAATGCTAGAATTACAGGCATGCACCACCATGCTCAGCCTTAGATTATGCTTTTATAACATTGTTTGTACACACACACACACACACACACACACACCTTTATGCTAGGACCTCACACTTCCCAGGCAGGTACCGTGCCACTGAGCTATATCCCTGTCCTGTTTAGTAATATTATAAATAGTGCTACAGTAAATATGTGAGTCAGTTTACCTTTCCACTAGCAGGTGGAGAGAATGTGAACCTGACAAGAACATAATTTAGAATTAAATGACACCATGTGCTTCTTTGGCCCACTATCCCAGCTGTCTCTCTTTTTACCCCCAGCTTTTCCTCTAGCCCAAGCTTGTCTTGTGCCAAAGCTGGCCCTAAACTGCTGGGCTCAAGCCATCCTTCTTCCTCACGTCCAGAATAGGTGGGACTTGAGGCCTGTGACATTTTACCGGAGGACGTACAAGGGCTGTGATAACTTGTCCTCTGTAATATTGTATATTTCTAACTCTTCTGGTGACAACTGATGAGCCATTGTGTTTTCCTTTCAGAGTTAGTAGTTCAACATTTTTAAGTGATTGACAACAATCTATATTTCTTGCCTTGTGAAATGCTGTCTGCTTTCTTTCTTTTTGAAAAACCCAATTTGAGTTTTAGCTTTTGTCAGTGTGAATCCTTTGTAATAAAGGCTGCATAACTGTCACAGTAAAGCAGAGTTCTCTTGCTGCATGGGGCCCCTGGTCCTCAACACCGTCAAGAGACTCCAGGTCCTTGTGTAGGTTTGGCCATAGTCGCTGCCAGCTGCAGGGTAACATGGCAAGAGGAGAGAGCAGATCCTGCTCCAAAGGGTGCAGGCACCCAGCAAGGGACTTGGAAGGTGGGCATTGCTAGAGTAGTGGGAGGCATCTTTCCATTTGTTTGGTTTGAGCATCTCGTTTAGGTGATCATTCTAATAGAAGATGCTGGATAATGGGTCAAAGAGGCACACTGTGTCATATAATTCTAAATTATGTGCTTGTTAGGTTCACATTAAGTGTGAGCCTTCCCTTTGGGTGTGGTTGAGGGGCACTTAGGGTTCAGTGTGTTAAACACCCCTCTGATGAGCTGCGGGCTGCCAGGCCATCTCCAGCCTGTGCCTCTGGCACTAGACTGAGATACAGTGAGTGAGTCATCGGCCTTTTTCTGTACTGAATCTGACTGTGACCACGACTGTCCTGCAGGGGCACTGGAAGGGGGTGCTTTCTTTCTTAAGACACTGAAGCACCACTTGCTCAAATTGAAGGACTAAGATGTCATTTACCACCACCCACAGACCATGGTGCGTCTGTCCACAGTGCAGGGGT